CTCTTTCTACGACGAAATGTTGACGGGACCCCGAGTAGTTAAAGGCTTAAAACTTCCTAAAATGCTCGCTTACCAGTCTCTGTCCCAATACGCGGTACCCCTCTTTCTACGACGAAATGTTGACAGGGCTCCGAGTAGTTAAAGGCTTAGAACTTCCTAAAAAAGCTCTTTTTTGCCCTACAATGAACCGCCAGTGCCAGGAGGCGCCATCTGGTCGGGAAGAATGCGTTATTGAAAGGAAGCATACACAGACTACTGACATCAGAAAGGTGAAGGGGAGAAAAGGGAGAGAGATGAGGGGCGAAGTGGAAGGAAGAGTGGAAGGGGGGCGTCCGAGGGAAGTCTACCTAATATTCTTTTTTCTCTTTTTTTCTTTCTTCTTTTTTTTTCTTTTTTTTCTTTTTTCTGTCTTTTTCCTCTTTCCTTTTCCTCTGATTTGGGATTGTATAAAGCTGAGCACCAACAAACTGTACCTTAAATCCTGATGAAGGACAGACTCTAGGCCGATACGTCAAAATAAACCACGTTGTGACCGCTCACGGAGGATCTACTGGACTATATGCAACGCTACGGCCACTCAACCACCATGCCTGCCTATATATATATATATATATATATATATATATATATATATATATATATATATATATATATATATATATATATAAATATATGTATATAAATATATATATATATATATATATATATATATATATACATATATATTTTGTATGCGTGTATGTGTGCGTGCGTGTACTTCAAAAATCTCGCCCTGCTGATAGTTGCTTTGATCTTATCTCAATAATAAATTTTTCGGAGCAGGTGATGTTAATAAGAAATGTCCATCTCTTCTTTCCCTCGTGCAGGCTTAGTCTCCTAAGATTTGAAAGAGTACCTCACTGATGATTCTATCAGAATGATAGCCGATATCTATTCCTGAACTATTTGCGAAAATAAGGACTTGTGATTACCTGTATATTCATAGAACGCTCTTGTTTTTAATAACAAATTATAAATTGTGGCAACGTTTGCGTCTTATTCTTCACAAAAAGATGTGCTCCCGGCCTTCATAAAAATAAGCAAGCGGTGTTTGCAATCAACACTAATTGGCAGCCGCCAAATGATGTTCCACTAGCCGCAAGATATTCCCTTGATACAAATGCACTTCACTAGTATAAACACTTTAATGTGACATCTGGCGCACGAGAGCAATGCTTGGTCGCATCTTTATTCTTTGCAGCGAAGGATGTGCAAAAGAAGCTTGCTACTATAGTAATAATGGCAGATTAGCGCAGAAGATTGACAAAACAAGATTGGCAAGCCTTGTCAAAGACGTCAAGGACGCCTTACCTCTTTTTTTTGAAAGAAGCTCTGAAAAATGACCCGAATATGGAATAAATGCATTACTGCCTTTTGATTTCCAAGGCACCTTTGGTATTTCTCAGCAATGAAGTTGAAGCTATAGGCCATTGTGAGTTGTTGCTGTTGCGTTGTTGTCTGATGGTGCTGTTTTGTTTTCGAATTATCTTATCTAGGCACCCAAATATGACACTGATAAATAAAGGCAGCGGCTAAAACATTCCCTGAGACTCTGGCAGTAGGAAGTATGTATGAACGCGGACGTTGGTCAAGCAAACCGCAAGGGTAGCGCCTGACTTACGGTGTTGCGCGCCTATCTTGAGGCGGTGGATCGATTCCCTGGTCACGTACCCGCAATTCAATCGGACCGATTTACAAAGAACGCCCATGAACCCGCTTGACCATGTGCACGCTGAAGAACCGAAAGTGGTCAATATTACAACAGAGTCCCGACCTACAGCGGGCCTTCTAATTGCACCTGGTTAGGCACGTACGAAACCCAGAAATTCTTATGCTAAGGAGGCACCTTCATTTCGAGTGCACAGAGGCAAAAAAAATTAAAAAAAAATATGAGTAAATGTACAAAGCAACTGACACTCTCTTTGCACACTATCAAATGCTGTCTCTTCGCCCCGACAGCCTGCAATGATGTAAGCTTAACCATCTTGAGCGAATCGATAAACGTCAGTGTCGGGTTTAAGCCACTCTATACGTCATAAGAAGCCTGTTTTTAGCCCAAATAAATTTTACTTAGGCCTCTCAGCATCAAATTTGTTTGCATGCTTATCCTTTATCACTTTCACAAGCTTTAAGGAACCCCCCCCCTTCCCCCCATATAACCTGTTCGTAAGGAGCTTCCCTTCTACGTCACGGTTTGCAAGTAATGACGGCAAGTCACTCATTGTATCTTTCGCTTGACACTGTCATAAGAAAGGGCTTGGTGTGCATGATAGGAAAACTGCTTACAAAAGCTGTATGCTGCGTGATATACATGTTTTATTCTTGACAAAAGAATAGTTCAAATCTGCTTTTGAGCCCTCGTTTTCACTACTGAACTTCTTATTTGTCAGTAAATGAAGCAGACAAGCGAAATGTGCGTTAGGTACGAGCACGACACCTCTGGACAAAAGCGAAAGAGCAGACGTATTCTGCTCGCGTCACTTCTTTCATGCAATGGCAGCTCCGTTTTTGTTCAAGTGGTTTAGTATGGAGGATAATAAACTCTGCTTTCTCCCGCAATTATACAGCGTTTTGGCACTACAATCATGCAAAAAAAGTACCAGACTTCCTTTTTCGGCAATCCGCTTATGCGCCATCTCTACCAGGTGTCGCTCTTGTACACTGGAGCGGGTAGAAAGGGCAATAAAGATTTTAAGCGGGTAGAATTAACTAGAAGAAGGTTATCTGATCAGTGGCTAAAGTCAAGGCATAAGTAAAAATTAAACCCTTCACTGGAAAGTACGAAGCCTCAACCTCACTATTAAAAAGGGGAAAATGTAGTTTTTTGTTCACAAAGTATTACGGCTTGGTGGCGATAGGCACCGCCCGGTCTAAAGGGTACAGCCATATCAATCCGTCCATCCATCCATCTGGCTGAGAAGCGCGTGCTTTTACCACGTTGGCGGTGCTGACCTGCGCCAAAACTGCATTGTGTGCTCTTTATATTCGGTCATTCCAGCGATGCAGGCGGTGCCATGTAGCCATGCTCAGAAGCTTTCACACGGTGATAAACTTCGACGCAGTTCGGTCTCTCAGTAGTCATGAACCAATGAACGCTTCTTCACACTCTGCGACACTGACGTGCACGCTCTTGTTATCAACACCTCGTCCACCATTTCGACCTACCACTGCGCCACCTAAGGTCGCGGGAATGATCGAATAGCAGCTAACGTTTTTGAATTTCATCCCGCGTACTTGTACGAAACCCTGGTGCCTGACACCAGGGTTTCATTCACCAGGTGAATCAGGCCTAACAGGGCAAGACACGTTTTTTGTGTCGTTTGCTTTCGGAGTGGCACAAGATAAAAGGGGATCACAGTGGGCAGGAGGGTATACGAACTCATTTTGAACTATTTGCGCTGGCACAAGGGTACGAAAGTGAGACGCGCTGTGGGCGCAACCTATAACTGTTTTAAATGCGAATGCATTTCTTTGTAAGCCTTTGTCAGGCATCTGGTGTTGTCCGTGGTCTTGGCCGCGCGCCGGCAGGTGTGAACTCTCCGCTCTCACTCCTTTTTCTCTAGAAACAGCGGTGGGCACATGTACTTATCCTCACTCCTAGCAACCGAAACGTGTGGTGCAAGAGAGTGAAGCAGCGGGTAGGTGCAGTGCTTCGCCACTCCTTCTATCGCCGCTTGTTCTTTCTATTCCCTGCTTTCGACTCTCCCGTACACTCGTACCTCACTCTCGACCATTCGCTAGCTGGGCGCCTCTCAAGAACATCCGGAAAAGTGTGCGCGAGGCACTGCTGTGAAACGCCAACACTGAGACGAGAACGCTGGTGCCCCGCTCTCCCGTCCGACCGATCTTCACCCTCGACCGTTTGCTGCCTGGGCGCCTTTCAAGGCGATGGTAGAAATGGATGAAACCGGATATCTGACGGCAACGGTACCGTCTCTCAGCGCATGTTCTGCATTCGAATTTCTTCGCGAATGGCTTCGGAGGGGTAGGGGCATTTTATTCAGACGCAGAGACCCTATTGCTCGCGCCTACGTCATTTGTCCGGCGTCCACATTCTCACTAGGCATGCCTGCCTTCTCCTCCATTCTCTCCAAAAGCTGCTATTTACTCTTTACACTTCTCTCCTACCACCTGCTTGCACTCGTTCCCTCATTGCGCATACGCATCTCCTCTGATCTTTCTTCTCTCCACTCTCACTCTCCTGCTTCGAAACGCCAACGCAGGGAGAGTCTGCCAAGGGCCACTCCCCCGTCTCCTCTAGGCAATCCTGCCCATGACGTCCCGAAAAAGCGACGCATGCAGCGCGCGTTAGCCTGTTTCTCGGTTAAAAAAAAACTTGCTGCTCGCTCTGCAGAACCGTTCACTGGCCACGCCGCATATACGGACTCTGAATCCTGACCTCAAAGGTAGCGCTGGTGGGAGACTTCTGTGTGTTGATGAATATAAAAAATTTGCAGCCTGCGCGTTAACTAAAAAAATTACACCATCTCCCCAAAGAGGACCAGTGGGTGATATGGAGCGTCGCGGCAGTTTTGGAAACAGCGTTCACGCAAAGCGTTCTAACGAACCAAGTTAACAAGGCAATAGTTCGCAATGTTCACCGCAAAGGTAGCATCTGAAACCGGTAAACACATCAGTAAAAAACTCCGTTGAAGTTCCCCACGATGCTCCGCATCTCCCCATTGTACCATTCGGGGAGACGTTTGACATGTTTCATAGTTTCTTTTTAATATTTAAATAAAGACGCCCCCGATCAGCGCATTCCAGTTAAATAAACAATACAAAGGCACTGATTAAGCGCCCATTGGTGCATGTTTACATGCATCCACCACCAAAAAGGAAATACCACACTCTTTTATGAAGTAGTCTCCTTGTATTGTTCACGCACACGTTCGCAGATTCGCATGTGAGCAGAACGTGTATTCCAAAAAAAATTTAAAAAAATACAAATTAATTCTTACCTTGGAGCTCTTTTGTGCTGCTGTAAGATAATCAATAGTATGTTAGATGGATGAAGGAACATTATTTGTGGTTCTAAGAAGACTGATGTTAAATTTATTTCCATTGCCTAACGACTTATTGTGTACACAAGTGATCTATAACAAAAGATTAACAAATGCTAGACCGTCCAATAAATCGAAGCTTTTAGGAAAAATATTGATCTCGCATTCATTGAAATTCACCCATATCCTGTATAGTTCGCAAGCGTATGCACTAGAATACAGCAGCTTGTACACACGTTCTATTGGAGTGGGCACACGTGTACAATATATATATATATATATATATATATATATATATATATATATATATATATATATATATATATATATATCGTGTTTCTCGACTACTTTCGACGACCATCTTACCCATCTGTCCACAGTGCTTGACGTTTTCCGACGTGCCAACTTGCAACTTAACTCGTCTAAATGTCGCTTTTGGCAACGCCAAATCTGCGTACTCGGCCATCTTGTTGACGCTGCGGGCGTTCAACCAGACCCTGCGAAAGTCCGAGCAGTTCGCGACTTCCCCACACCCCGCTCAGCCAAGGACGTTCGAAGTTTTCTGGAACTGTGCTCCTATTTCCGTCGTTTTGTCGAGACGTTTGCTGAAGTAGCCCGTCCTCTAACCGGCCTCCACAAAACCGATGTCGCATTCACCTGGGGCCAACAGCAAGCAAACGCCTTCTCGTCGCTCGTTGAGATTCTCACCAATCTACCAGTCCTAGCACACTTCGACCCATCTGCCGCCACGGAGCTTCGTACTGACGCCAGTGGCCACGGCATAGGCGCAGTGCTGGCGCAGCGGCAACAAGGAATGCATCCGCGTCGTCGCGTACGCAAGCCGACTGTTGTCGCGCTCGAAACAAAATTATTCGATCTCAGAACGCGAGTGCTTAGCTCTCGTCTGGGCCATTGCGAAATTCCGACCGTACCTCTATGGCCGACCATTCTCAGTTATTACGGACCACCATGCGCTTTGCTGGCTCTCCTCACTCAAGGACCCTACGGGACGCCTTGGTCGCTGGGTGCTGCGCTTACAAGAGTACACTTTTTCCGTATCCTATAAATCCGGACAACTTCACAAGGATGCCGACTGCTTGTCCCGTTACCCAGTCGATCCCCCTGACATGATGGAAGATGGACAAGAGGTACTAGTTCTTTCAATTACCGACTTCACCGACATAGCTGCTGAACAACGCCGCGACCCCTCTTTGCGTGCTATTATCAATGGTCTGCACTCCCCCCACCCTGACCACTCCTTACAACTGTTCGTTCTTCACAACGACATCTTGCACCGCTACAACGCCCGCCCAGATGGTGCTGAGCTTTTACTCGTTGTTCCTGCGCATCTTCGCTCAGATGTTTTGACCCAGCTCCATGATGCCCCCTCCGCTGGACACCTAGTGGTGTCACGCACGTATGACCGCGTTCGCCGCCGATTCTTTTGGCCTGGCCTCTGCCGTTCGGTGCGACAGTACGTTGCGGCATGAGACCTCTGCCAGCGCCGCAAGACACCTGCTCTGAGACCTGCTGGTACCCTCCAGCCCATTGAAGTACCAGATGAGCCATTTTTTCGAGTCGGCCTCGATCTTCTAGACCTTTTCCCGTGTCGGCCACCGGTAATAAGTGGATTGCTATTGCTACCGACTACACAACGCGGTATGCTGTTACACGCGCCCTCCCCACCAGCTGCGCTACTGATGTAGCCGATTTTCTTCTTCATGACATCATTCTGCGTCATGGTGCTCCTCGTCAGTTGATCACCGACCGTGGCCGCTGTTTTCTATCTAAAGTAGTCGACGAGCTCCTGCGATCCTGCTCTACCCACCACAAGTTCACTCCCGCGTACCACCCACATACCAACGGCCTCACGGAACGCCTCAACCGTACCCTGACTAATATGTTAGCGATGTACGTTTCCAAGGATCACAAAGATTGGGACATCCACTCACCTTTCGTTACCTTCGCATACAACAGTTCACGTCACGATACAGCTGGATTTTCGCCTTTTTACCTACTGTTTGGTTATGACCCGCCTTTGCCCATGGACACCATGCTCCAATCTGACGCCACCTCATCGACTGCTTATGCTCGTGATGCCCTGGCCCGAGATGACATCGCCCGCCAAGTCGCCCGGGATCGTTTATGTGCCTCGCAGTTTAACCAAAAGAGTGCTTACGATCGCCGGCACCGCGACGTACAGTACTCTCCGGGGTCGCTCGTCTTGCTGTGGTTACCATTGCGTCGTGTTGGTCTCTGCGAAAAACTGATGCCCCTTACGTCGGCCCATATCGCGTCGTACGCAAGGTCACCAGCGTGACCTATGAGATAGCTCCACTCCATACCACGTCAGTACCAGCTCCAGTCCCGACTGATATAGTGCACGTCTCACGCCTTAAACCATACTACTCACGCCCCGAGAATTGATCGCAACCAGACGGTGCTTCTGCCGCCGGCGGGTAATGTCACGGGCTAAGTAGATGCCTGAGGTTGACGACGACAAAGTTCTCTGGGGAACGTGCTCGGACTGCAGCAGCGTTATACGCATTTTGCTCGCCAGTATATCCATTGTGTATACTTTAATCCCCGTAACATCATATATGATTTGTTCTCTCAACTTCCAACCTTAGCCGCATTCTTTTGTCCCAAGATTCCCTCTCCCTACAAAAGATCGCGCAAGTTACAAACTGTGAAGCATGAACAAGTAGAGTCTCATAATAGAAAAAATGGCAGTATGTAAACGCCTTATGAGAGTCACACAAACTCGCACAGAAATTTTACAGTAGAGGGCAGCAGTCCGGTGACAGCAAGCTGTTGTGTTCTGGACAACACAATCACAGCTTTAAAGTGGATTTCCTTCATGTTACAGTAGTGCTTCCGAAGAATAAACAATCGTGGAATGCCTTGGAACTATTGACGTGCGACTGATAAAGTGGCTAGCAGGTCTTGATCCAGTCGACTTGTGTGACGCTAGATGTCAGAGACGGGACCTAAATCAAGCGCCTTGCGTACGATAAATTTCACTTCTCGGCTTTTTCCAACCATAGCAACTTTCCTACTTCTACGTCATATATATATATATATATATATATATATATATATATATATATATATATATATATATATATATATATATATATATATATATATATTATGAAGGCTGTGTCATGACCGAAACATATATGAATAAAGGAACTGTTTGCTTTTTCGTACGTGTCCCCAGACTCTTATACGTACCAGACCCCATGAAGTTTCCCGCTGAGAAATATATATATATATATATAATATATATATATATATATATATAATATATATATATATATATATATATAATATATATATATATATATATAAGTATGTATGTATATTGTGATGAGCGAGACAGAGAACAAGAGACAACACCCGATCCTGGGCCAGTTATTCTTATTCTGACTTCGTTCTTCTCTTCCTTGCTCTAGCTATCCGCGCGCCGAAGCCCCAGTGTCTTTCTTGGTCATGACACTGGGCCAAGACTGCGCGCGTGCGGAGCTGGCGGCAAAGTTTCTGGTGGGCAGGCTTGGCTGCATCGTGGTGGTCAGCCCATACCACTATGCAAGATGGAGTGACGGTCTGGGGAAAGCGTCTCTGGTGGACGGCACTGGCTGCCTCAAGCCGGTCGCTCCTTTGTACGCCACGATGTGTCTTGAAAAAGTGCTGTGGACTCAGGTGGCCGGCAATGGCTGCCCCGTTGCGGCCAACGCTCTCGGTCATGCTGTGATTCGGTCCGGGAATCTGCCAGAAGTAGATCCGGTGGTCGATACTGGCTGCGTCTCGGAGGTCGGCCTCGACCACGCTGGAACTGGGTGTCGGAGTCTCCCACAAGTCTATCGGGAAGTAGAGACTAGCTGCATCGTTGTGGTTGATCTCGTCCAAGGTTCGACGTGTTCGGAAGACTTGGTGAAAACAGTTCTGGCGGGTGGCATTTACTTCCTTGCCTGGGCCGGACCCGTCTAGGCTGTGACTTGGCACGCTGAGACTGTATTTGTTGCCTTGGTTGGCCACAGTGTCGTTGTTGACGTTGGGCATTGGCATTCGCTCGCACCTTGGTCGATGAAGACTCGGGGGTATGAAACTGGTTGTACCCAGGTGGTCTGTCTTTACGACGCAGTAACATGGTGTAGAGATTTGGTGGGCGACAGTGGGTGTGTTGGAGCAGTCGTTGCCTGCCAAGTAGACATTTATGACGTCTGAGTGGGGTGGTGTGGTTTTTATGCGCATTTGAATGCCGAGCCAAAAAATGCTTGCGCAACAGAGGGTGAGTGTGAATGCTCACCGGCCACTGGACACAATCATGATGCGACGTGCCCGCAGCTTCCTTGCTGTTATCGCTCTTGTTTTGACCGAGCTGGTCATGGCCTGAACAATCAGAGGCACTTTCCATGGTGACGACTTCATGGGGGTCTGCGCGACGTTCAGGTTGTACGTTGGGAGTCAGAATGGCATGCTTGTCGTCGTCGGCAAGATGGTACATAATGTTGCCAGAGAGGCCGATGCTGGCTCTCTCTGCCTGGAACGCATCGATGTAGCTCACACGCTCAGCCATTGACTACAGATGTGGTACAGACTGGTCCAAGATTGTCTCCTTGCAATACGGTTGTCTCCGACAGCTCTGTCTTGGAAATGGCATTGGTTGCTGGCACGGAGGTTCGTGAGATAGGTCACGGTGTGGAACCTGGCATCGGAAGAGCGACGCCTGCCTTGGAGCCTGTTTCAGTGTATTCTGCGGAGCGTTCAGCCAAGAGGTCATCAAAGCTTATGCAGGGTACACCTACACATTCGGGATGGTTCAGTGTGGGTATGTCGTTTGAGTGACGTCCTTCACGAGGCCGGTCTTCGATAGTGGTCTTTGGCTGAGCTGAACTTGAATTGGACGACAGCAAATTGTCCGAAAGCTCAAGTGAACTGCAACGCATGGCTGCAACCTGGAGGCGCAAAACCT